GTATTGGCTGTAAAGAATGTTTGGGAAATAAATCTTGTAAAAGCCATCTACAAAATTAGCAAAGTCTGAGGTTAAAATTAGCTGTTTGTCAATTAAATCCCACTCATCTAGCTCACTCCACTGAACTATGAATGAATGTGCTGTGACAAATGTACAAATCCCTCTGCAAACGATTGGCAAATCCCTGCCCACAGGAATATAGAAAATTGAAGCAAAGTTCTGCTGTATGGTAAATTACAACTGGTTGGCTATTTAAAATGTGCCATCTTTTCAGTAGTTTTCACCATCAGAACAATATTGTGTTTTAAAGTATTTTCCTTTCTTCATCCCATATCTTATTCATAAGCATATTAAGATGGCAAGAGGGAAAACCCCCTTCTGTAGGAACTCTTGGGGGAAAAATTGTTTGAGTGAAGCACAAGAGGCTGTATGAAGTCCACTAGGAACTTCGCTCTTCCTATCAATTATATGTGGAAGGCACTCTGATAGAAAGCTGGTGGGAGGCAGCAGAAAAACCCTTGAGGCCTGGGGGTAGTTTTTGTTACCATAAATATGGGCACTAAAGTGTGATTATGTGTAGGACCTTGGAGAACTCCACTTTCAGGGCCTGTTTGATGACCGAGAACAGTATATGGGGAGGAAGGATTAAAGATCGAATGTTGCACTGTCTTGTCTCTCTCTTGCTCTTTTAATTCTTGAACACAGAAGAGCTTTGGGAATAGGACCATGTGAAGAAACCCCATGATGGCATACCACAGGGGGTAGAGGGGAACTGAGACTCAACTAGGGTTACCCCCAGACACAGAAGTGTGCAAGGAAGAGTCCTGTTTCAGGGGCATCAGCGCCCACCCTCTCCCCACGTGAGCTTGGGTACAAAAGAAACTGAGGGGCCATCCAGAAGCTCAGCTGGCTGGAGCAGAGACCAGCAGTACCTAGGAATGACCCACTCCCTCCCATCTACCCTTTGGTCTCCCCACTTCAGTCTCACTGCCCCTGCTCCCCTTCCTTTCCTTTGACCCTCGCCCTCCTGCCCCCCTCTTCCTCTCTAATTCCCTCTCAACAACCCTCTTCCACCTTTCAAAAAAGAGAAACCAACAAAAAAATTATCGCACATTTGTGACCATCACATTATTCACTCTGCTTGTATGGGATTGTCCTATTCCCCCAGCCCTCTGACTCTCTTGTCAGTTTAGATGGTAAACTGTTTGGGGCATGGACTCTTACTCTGTTTGGACAGTGCCTAGCAGAGTGGCATCCTGATCTTGGGTGGGGTCCCTAGATGCTACCATAATATACATAATAAATGCAGTGCTGGCTGGATGTCTACCTGCAGTAGATACTCCTGGGGAAAACACGTGCAGAATTTATGTCCCCTGCAGATTTCTTTGCTTCCCTGCAGAAAAATGACTTTCTGACAGGGAAGCAAAGGGAAGCCACAAGAGCAGTCATGTGCCCCTCCCCAGCAATATGTTTTGGGTGCCCAGGGCAGCCGGCAGAGAGGTAAATCACTGTGAGGCAGGACTGGGGAAGACCTGGCTGGTGGCTCTTACACTGTGCTGGGTTCAGCTGCTAGTCCCAGCTGGGCTGGGGAGGATGGGACTTTCTCTTCCCCGGCATGGCATCCAGTGCCGGGTCAGACCCACCCCCAGATTTCTCCTCCAGCTGCAGGAAGCTCTGCAAACTCCCCCCGCACACGCACTTCCTGCACCCATTGCTCCTCAGGTGCAGTGGGAGGGATCCCTGTAAAGGGAGCTGCTTCCCCATCTACCCAACCCCCATGCATCCAGACCCCCTCATGCCCTGACCATCCCCCCGATGAGCCCCACTCCCCCTGCACCTGGACCACCCTGATGAGCTACCCACACCCAGATCTGAGCCCCAACCAGCTGCACCTGGACCCCATCCCACTGAGCCCCACTCCCCCAGCATCTGGACCCCCCCCACCCAAGCCCTCCCCTACCCAGACCCCCTTGCTGAGCCCCAACAACCTTCACCCGGACCCCCCTGCAGAGTCCCATTACTGTTGGACCCAGACTCCCCCAAATGGTGCATCCAGATCCTTCCCACACCCAGATTGCCCCACACAGAACCTTCTCAACCCCCACCTGGATCCTGCCTTGTTGAGCCTGCCTGCCCACACCTGGTGCACCTGGCATGGAGGGGCAGGGCCCTGGGGTGTTTCTTGGGCAGGCCCTGTCCTTGGGCTTTCAGGGTTGGGTTCAGCTTTACCACTGAGTCCGTGACCTGGGGGGTTGGGGGGGGGAAGAGCTGCATAGTTGTTATGCTTATAAGAAGCACACAGTATTGGGTATGTTTTGGCTAACACAGTGGCCTGTGTTCCCCAGTGCCATTCTGGAGCCTCCACATTTATTTGACAAATACAATTTGCAGAATTTTAAAATATTGTGCACAGAATTTTTATTTTTTTGGCACAGACTATCCTCAGGAGTAAGTAGTGACCATCTGACTGCCCTGGGAATCAAAGCTAGTTGCAGATTCAACAGGTCATCAACACTATAGGAAATGGAACCAGTATCCACACATCTTTGCAACGTGTCAGGAGCCTGTTAGTTACATTTCAGAATTAAACAGAACAGATCTAAAGGATCGGGTTTGTTACTGTCAATGTATTTTATATTAAACAGTTTTAGAAGTGGCTGTTCTGTACCTTAGGAGGAATTATGGTCAGCTCTTTCAGCTAACTTTATTCCCCTGTTCAAGGTTACTTAGGTTAATTGGTTTCCGGTATTGCAGGGGGATTAATTTGATACTTGCTGTGAAGTTTGAACTCTTTGTTCCTCCTGAGGATTATGGCTGGGGAGCTTTTCCCATTCCCTCTAAAGGAGCCTTGGAAAGTCTGAATTTCCTGATGTGAGCTCCAGATTTTGGCTGCCCCCATAGGGCTGTGTTAAGGTGGCAAATAATACAGAAAGCTTCCACACTTCTATGTATTACCCAGTTGTAGTACTGGAGGACAGGGACTAGTGAACCAGCAGCACTGAATGGTCCAGAAGAGGTGTGTCTGGCAGGGATGGGAGTGCTGCCATCCATAACTTCTGCACGGTGGACACCACTGAGAGGTTGGGGGGAGAAGACAGCATAGAATACACCCAATGGCAACCAGGATCATGTGCAGGCTTTTCGCAGACAATGCCTCCAGCCATCACCTGCACCGATGAACCTGTCTCTCTCTATCCAGCACACAAATGGCATGCAAAATGGCATTTTGCATTTAGGAACCTTCTTAATTCAGCCCTACACAAGGAACTCTACTGCAACTCCTGATATATTATGAATACTTGGAATGTGTTCATCTGTGCATACAAATTGCTCTGGTTGAAACAAACAAGGCTTAGCAGGTACTATTTATGCCCTAATATTAAAGCACAAATCTAAGCTGAAGATGGGTAAGCAGGGGTTCTCCTTTAAAACTGCAGCATAGGTCTGACCTCCAGGTGGAGGACAGCAGAATTCCTGAGGTGTGACAGGTAAAGACTGAACCAGGGAGTATTACACGGGGGAAATGGGAGAATAGGAAAGGAGACAGGGGTGTGCCTGTTTGGTTTTGGGTTTTTTTAGAATGCAAATAATTGTAGGAATCATATTGCATCATTCCACATTATTATGCAAAATCTATAAAACGATATTTTTACTAATGTTCTCCATTAAATTGCTCTCAAATACATTCAGATCCTGTGATTTTTCCTCTTAAAATAAAACAAACAGAACTATGTAGAGAGGCAATTTTTGTTCAACAGTACATATTTTATTTGGGCTGTAAAACCGGCAGACTCTAAAACAAGCAACACACACCAAGTGAAAGTCCTCAGCCTTTATGAACTTTTCATTAAAAAAGTTAATCATCTACTTAAGTCAAATTGATGGGTCATTATATTTAACAAATATACAGTCACAAATTATTAAATAACATTGTTTTAATTAGGAAATAGGATAAGAAGATATTCTTCGTTTAAAAGTTAAAATTCAAGGACAGGAATGTTTAGCTATTCACATCTAATCCAAATATAGCCATAGTTGTTACCTGTATTTATAAAGAGCATTATTCCAGTGGATTTAAAGTTATAAAGAGCAAACCAAATTTATTTTTTTGAAAAAACATGCAATGGCACTGTTTCTGACAGCTGCAATTAATCATTTCACATACATAAAAGCTGAGCTGTCTATATTTCAGATATTTAGTTATAGCCTGTTATAATTGGCACTACTGTACTTGGCATAGCTGCCTAGCACAAACAACATGAGAACATTTAGCTGTTATATATATCTGGCATCAGAGCTGCATATGGATTCCTACATTTCAGTTCAAAATTAGGAACTAAAGACGTGAATGCTGTTTTTTCTTTTTTAAGTTTGGGTGAGGTACCAATGGGAGAAATGAACACAATCAGGCCACCTGAAGTTTGCTTGTTAGAAATGATAAAAAAAGAGAAGCTATAGTATTATTATAGAATGACTACACAATTTTCTTAACCAAATTTCCTGATGTAATTCTACCAAAACTCAAAATTCCAGTTGAGATTTTAGTTTTCATGTTCAGTCCATAAGGCATGTTCTGAACAAAAAATTCTTAAGCTTCTGCGTATGGTCCAGGAAAAGACACCAGTGGAAACTTTGCATAGTTTCACTTCCAAGAGTATACATTGTACACCAATAGGATTTCAGCAAAATCTCTAAAGAAAAGGTGTTACTGAAGGCTTCGCTAAAAATCTTCTTGCTTAAAAAGTTTTTCTCAGATCAGATGAATAGTTATGTCCTGTCTATGCTTCTAGACTGGAATACAACCCCCTTTAAAAAATAACTTTCAATTTGCAAAAATTGGGGCCTCTCTTGACAGAATTTTTCCTGTGTATAAATTCTGTGTTTGACTGCATATAAAAACAAAAAAAGAACCTTAAATTATCTCTAATATTAACAATATTCATATTAAACACCAAATGAAAGCTATATTGAGAAGAATTCTACAAATAAACAGCAGGGAGGTGATATCTAAAACCGCTCCTTTGGTTCACTAAATTTTCTCCTTTTTGGCAGTGTATCTTGACTAGAGGAGAGTTCGTACTGATGAACCTACCAAGAGAAAATACAGACTGCATTTCAGTTCCCTGTATTTCACAAACCATGGCTCTTTCAGTTGTGTTAGGTATCTTAACATGGAAAAAGAACTTCATAACAAGAATCAACTATATGAAACATAAAGCGGTGCAAAGAATATCCAATCCTTACAATGACATTTGTGCTCAGGATTGCAAAGCTTGGGATAATATTTTGATAGTAATCAGTTAAAATACAAGAACTTTCTCATGCACTATTGAAAGGAGGTTAAAAGTTATTTATGATCTAAGGGTAAAGGCTCCTTTGTGACGCTGCTTCAAATGCAAGTAAAATTTTCTCAGAAGTTCCACTTTAACATCTAAAGCTAATGTTAAATAGGTACTGCACATCATCAACCTGTCAAGACACAGGGTTTGATTCTGATTACACTTACATTAGTTTTCACTCATTTAACTCCACTGACTTCAATGGAGTTACTTCTGGTTTATTTAAGTACAAAATAAGACCAGAATTTGGCCCTCAGTCTTTACTTAACTTGTTGTGTTCTTTCTTATCTAAAGTAATTATGTTTGTATATCTTTAACCTTAAATAGTAATAATAATGAAAGTTTTTTTCACAGACAAATACAGAAGTAGTAACTATGTATTTATTTCCCTTTCTTATTCTGTATACCCAATAACAAAAATACTGAATGAGGTTTTGGGGTGGGATTAGAGAATGCTCATGTAAAACTGGTATAGTGATAAACAGCATCTTGAAAAATCACCAGACCGTTTTGTTTTATATTATGTATTTTATTTTCCATTTAGAGATATTCAATGCTTGTCACCAAATGCACAAAATATAACAACAAATCCTTTTGCTTTCTGCATGCAACTTTAAAACTTACAAGTTTTTCAGACTCAGACCAATTTCTCTTCTGGGTTTCTTTAGAACACTTAGCTACTAAACGATTTTTGCAATGTTCCTGAGCCTGATTTTCACCAACCTTTACAGAAAGAAATGAACGATTAGTTTTAGAAGAAGACTGCAGACAGCTACAAAGCAGCACACTGTGGATGCTATTGCTGTTCCCTAACCTGTGTTAAAAATTAATGAAGAGCTTTTCAGACGTGGGACAGGGAAGGCAGGATTTTTCTTTGCCTTGACATGTAATTTCCTCTCTTGACTGTAAATGATGAAGGCTACTTCTTTATTTACTGAGACTGGCAGCATTTGTCCCAGAACTCTTATGAGGAAAAGTAATCCATATATAAGAGCTGTACAGGGGACCAAGGGTGAAGTGGCCATGCAGGCATATGTATGTACCCCCTGTCCACTGTGGAAAGCGTTTCTATACCAGCCCCATAAGGCCAGAGCAGAAGGCTGCAAGGGACTCCGGCCAGTAAAGGGGCCAAAGAATCCATGTTTACATGGATCAAGTGTCCCCCTAAACCTTACAAACTGGTGCAGGGGACTAAGGATACTATTTCAGCCCATAGGCTCATAGCCAGTGAGAGAGGAAGGGCACATGGACCACAGAGCAGCCCTGTACTGCCCCTGGGCTGAAAGTGGCTTGAGGTTTTCACCCCCAAAACTCCTCCTGTTCCACTTCTGTAAAGCCCAGATACTCAGGTGCCATGTAGGTGGAATAGATTTCAAAAATTTAGCTACCACACATAAGCATGAATAAGCAAGTAATAATGGATTTTTCAAGATATGTACAAATCACACATCTGTGATTAGAATTCTGGCCCAGTATTTTATAAGAGATATGAAACAATACACTGGCTTAAGTTCTCGTCTAGCATAGGTCCACTGCAGCACATGGAATTAGGCTGGCAGAGAACATGGCCAAGCAAAGAATACAAATAAATCCTCACGAATCCCTCTGAAACTATACAATTAAAAACCAAACACTAAAGTAATTTTTAGAACTAGGCATTCACTTTTTGACATTAGGAATACAAAAGTGTTGTTCATATTCCTAAAATAAAAAGAGCTAAAAAAACCAAAACTCTGAAGTGAATCCTGGTCCCAAAGAAGTCAATGGGACCGGAATTTCAATCCTGGACTGTAAATTGTATTTAAGCACATGATTTCATTCTGTATTTGGAATGGAGTTGTTGTTTAAAAAAAAAAAAAAAAAAAAAGCTACTGACTGTGTTGATCTGAAATATTTTTCCACTTCTTGTCCTGCCCTCTGACACATCAAGTTCAGATGTCTTAATTGCTAACTGATCAACCTAAAATGGAAAATTAGTATTATTTCAAAATAAGAATTCTCTTAGGATTAAGAGGCAAATTAGGACACAAAGGGCTCAATCCTGCAAGATGCCAAGTGCTTGTTTGCTCCAATCCATCACAGTACTTAAGCACGTGCTTAACTTTAAGCAGAAGTAGTCCTATTGAAGGCATGTGCGTAAGTACCAGTGCCTGAATCAGTGCCTCAATTTTTTTCAGTTATAGTCAGTCCCTGGCTATTACCAAGGGGTCAATTTGCATTTGAGCCTCAAGGATCTGTAACAGAAGTACTCCTACTCTGTATTTACATGTTACTACTCTCAGTGTTGTTTTCAGAGAGTACAATAAGAATGGTCATTATTACAATACCCAGATTTACCTTAGGCTTCCATCAACATTTAAAAGCAGAGATTTCTACTGAAGCTAAATGATTATTATGGATGTCACATTAATTTAATAAAATTAAAGCCAAATAAAACAAAAATTTTGCCAGATGGTTCTAAGTGGTTGTTGATGGGAGTTCCCGTACATTAATTAATTGCTCAAGAGGTCTCAAAATTCAAAATGTTAGTTTGAATAATAAAGAAACTTCACAAAACCCTAGGAAAAGTATTTTAAGAGTAAGACTGGAAGAGAATATAGCTTTTATACCTGAGAATTAGAAACAGGTTTATTCTGGCTTTCTTCAGACCTCGTAAGTTCATTTTCTTCACAAGTTAAACTTAATTCTGTGAAAGGTTTGTTAAAACAAGTTCTAATATTAAATTAACAGCATTTTTACATTTTTGTTTTCAGACATCAGCATGATATGCATCTAATAAATGTGACAGACAGACAGGATAGCCAGACACTTGGAAAAGGCTCTATTCTCCCATCTGTGCATGGAAGTAACTATTAACATTAGTGGGAATTACTGTGCCTCATGTCTTTAGCTCACTGGGCCTCATTCTCATTTACATGAAAGCCCCTTTAAATGAGAATCAGGCTCACTATATCCTGTTATTGCAAACAGGCACGTAAAGAGACATACTTATATCTATGTAACACAGATTTATATAAAATGCCCTTAAAATCTGTGGGCTTGATTCTGCAAACTTGTAAGTAGTCCTTACTAACAGTCCCAATGAATTCACTCACATTAATAAGGACTGAGAGATTAAGCATTACAGATCGGGCCCTGGGTCTTGTTACAGTCAGACTGTTGAAAACTCATGACCAGAGCTGACAAATTTCTGTTGAACTGATTTCATGATTAAAATGTTAGAGCTAAAAACCCTGCTCCTATCGACTGAAATGAAAGCAGGATTTGGCCCTTATGCTATGTGCCAAGAATTCTGCATCACAAATTTGCAATAACAGGTAGTTGTCTGTTTTACTTCTGTAATGTTTCAGGGGGAAAAGTATTTTTTTAGATAAAATCTCAAGTGATGTAGTCTCTTCTATTCTAAATATTTAACCTATTTTAACTGATAAGATATAAATAGAGCACAGCAAAAATTCAGAACAGAAAAATGAAAAGTGCATTTGACAACAGCATGCAAAACTTCGTAAAATAAACCAGTGACATAAAAGAAAGGCATAGCAAGTATATTACTAGTATTGTTGTGGGTTGAGCTTAACCTTGTTATAATCAGGGCATAACCACCAACTTTCGTCCAGGTGGCTGAAACAACAGCAGTAGCACCCAAAACACAGGCAAATGGAAAAAAATTGAGTAGAAGCTGAATCATGTGGGCCAAGGGGTTTCAAATGTAAGGACTCAGGTTTTGATTGGTGGAACTGTTTTTTTTCTCTCTCTCTCGAAGTAGCAAGAAAGCCAAGCAGACAGTACAGAAGTGTTGGTAATGTGGTCCTAAGAGAAAGCTTTGAGAAAAATCTTTTGGCAAATAGAGTGCTGGCTGGAAAGGCAAGTTTTGAACAGAAAGCAAAGGAATTGTCTCCTGCTGTTTAATTCCTACTGAGTTCAGGGAAACAGGACTTTATGTATAATGTTTGTAAATAAACAACATTGTATCAAGAAAATCTGGGGCTCTATAATCAATTTCTTCTCCTAATAGAAACAACATATAGGGCTCTGAACTTTGGCTATCCTGTGGATCAAAAGGGATAATAGTGTAAAACGGAGTGTAGTACTATATGTTACATAGTCTACTTCTCATTTCAGCAACATAGGAACCAGGTGGCAAGAGCTGAGCTGTCCTGAACTGTATACTTATTACCTCCAACTTTTACAGATGTATTTGCATTTTTCTGAACTTCCATTTTATTATCTGCCACAAAATCTTCCTATATAAAAAAAGAAAAAGAAAGAAGATATAAAATTTAAAAGTATTGGATTCTCAATGGAATAAAAATAATCATATAAAAACATTGAACTGAACTAATTAGATTTGGCCCTAAACTGCTAGGAGGAGGGCCCGGGTCTTCAATCATGGCATTGTGTAATTATTAACACAAAACCTTAGCTTAGTGATCAGGACACCCACCATCCACCCAAAATCTTAAAACGTGTAAATAGGAAGTTAAGGGAATTTTTCTTATATTCCTTGCCACTTTTATATTGCCTACAAAACTGCCAATAACACACTCCAACACTCCATGAGATATTCACTTCCATCTGCAACTGATACCAATCTGTATTCAGCTTAAAACTTTAATGGCAACCTCTTACACTCAAGTATCAACAGTTGGGCACATGTGATGTCATACATTCCATGCCTGTGGGAAGTTAATCTGCCTTGGCTTTTGCTAAGGTTGCTGTCAAATAAAAACTTTGCTGCAACTTTAAATATGGCACAGCTATTTTTCCACAAAAAAAAGTTTAGTCTGTGCTCAGGATTACAAATAATAATTCCTCACGTTTAGGCCCCAATCTTGGAAATGGTTATGGATGTGAATAACATTATTAATGTGACTAGTTCATTAAGTTCACTTATGTTAATCATATGCATAAGTGTTTGCAGGATCAATGCCCTATATAGCAAGGAAATCCACAGTTAGACACTTAATCTCCCACCTACTACTACGATGCTGCACAAAATTTACCAATGCTAGTAACACTATATATCAGTTTAGGATATAAAATGAAGAATAACTTGTTCAATTAAAATAACTGGGGAGATGATTTATAGACATAATATAACTGAGTTGGAATTTATCCAGAACCCCATGACTATCATGTACTCCCTTCCATTTTATGAAACATTGCATGGGATTTCATACTAAAGATACTGCAGCCCATCAGCACCATCATGTCGCACTAGTTCAATGTAGATCTCTATTACGAAAATAAAAATAAACTGATTGCTCCGGTCTGAGCAGTAAAATTAAGAAGAGAAAAAATCTAAACGACTATATGTAATTTTATTTGAATATCTTTGGCAACTGAATGTTTTATTAAAACTTTGCAGCAGTGGACAATATAAATGGTTACTGACTCTTTTCAAGAGAGTTCAAATTGTAAAACATTTTAAATATAAATAGCATGTAGCAACGCCTGAGTCCTTACATTTATTTGCTGGTTCTGTTCTTCTGGATTATCTTTGTCCAGTCTGATTAATTGCGTAGGCACCTTAGAGTCTCCTTGCTTCAGCATGTTTTTATCAATATTTTCCATTCGTTCTTTCTCAGTTGTCACTTTAACTTTCAGCATATGAAAAGGGGTTGGCACCTCACCCACATTTAGGTAAATAGGCTCCCCCTCAAATATCATTGTGTCAGAATCACCCTCTTTAAAACCAGGAGGCTGGTAATCAGGTGGTGTAACTGCAGAAAATAATTCATGAAATATACTGTTATATGCTGAAGTGTGTTCTTAGTCTTGGGAAAAAATGTTTTATAAGTATCTGAATGAAACAGACTTTTTTCCCTTTGAACAAAGAGTGTTACTCCAAAACACAGTCTTTTTATTTATTTTTGTTCCATTTTTTATATTCTATATTCAGTTTGTATTAAATAAAACCTATTTTTCTATACAATAGAAAAGAATCTGATTAGAACATTTAATATGCACAAAAAGATAACCTTGAAAAAAAAATTACTGGTATAAAACTGTGATATATTTAAAAAAAATAAGTTACAAAAGCCATTTAAGTGGTATACAAAACTAGGTCTAACTTTCCCATCAAGAGTTTGGTCCTTGTTTAAACCTTCGAAATACACTCCTGCGTTTTCCTTAATAAAAATGCATCATGTTCAGAATGCTTGTATGAAATTTTCATACAGTCAAATTTCTCACAGTTTTAATTCCAAATGAACATAATGAGTTGCAGTTTTTAAATATCTAAGGTGAAATCTTGAAACCACTAAAGTCATTGGCAAATCTCCCAATGATTTCAGTATGGCCAAGATTTTACCCCAAGAACTCTGAAAATCCAGGACAATGCAGAGGTAAACACATATGAGAAAGCTAACATCTGTTTAGCTTTAACATTCATAAAAATTATATAAAATGCTGTTTCAATCATTTAAAAGTATTTATTTATACACTAGATAAATCAAGATAATGTGGAAACAGTACCTTCATCATAATAAAAAAGCTTCATAGTCAAGCAGATATCATTAGGTAACGGGCCCAGATTCTGCATCAGAACATAAATCTTACGAATGAGGAGGATACTTGCTTTCTTGGTGTCTGTACATGTGATGTTGGAATCATTTCCTTTATTCTTACTAGGGATGAACAAATTATTCAGATCTTTTATGGGAACAAAATTGTTTCTAATGTTATAAATATACCGTTAATTACTTATAAGTTACTATAAATATTTCAGGCTAGTGAATATCACACTATTAGCTATGTAAATCTTGTGCATTCTCAGCACATTTTAGGATCAAGTCCTAAATCATGGGCTTCAACTAGTTATGAAACCAACTACTGTACTTTATTAGAGAGAAAAGGCGGGTGAAAGAATATCTTTTATTGGACCAACTTCTGTTGGAGAGAGAGACAAGCTTTTGAGCCACACAGAGCTCTTCTTCAGGTCGGGGAAAGGTACTCTGAATCAGTGTCACAGCAAAATGCAAGGTGGAACAAATTGCTTAGCATGACTAGTTAGCACATATTCTAAGGGACCAAAGTAGAGTGACCGATCTATAGTCATCGGACAAAAAAGGTGGTGTTAGTGGGTTACAGACTGTTGTAATAAGCCATAAATCCAGTGTGTCTGTTCAGTCCATGATTTTTAGCAGAGAGTTATGAATTTAAGCTCCCAGGCTCATCTTTTGAAAGAGTTGTGCAGTTTCCTTTGAGGATTAGGACAGATAGATCAGAAAGCACTTATTTAACACAAATCTGCCAGTGCTCTCCCCCCAGGACACAAGCTGCTCATTCATTTAACATACTTGGTCCCTGGTCCTCCAAAGACTTCACATATGCTGAACTTTACGAACTATGAGTAGTTCCATTCAAGTCAATAGCACTATTCACAGTGCATAAGGTTAAGTGTGTGTACATGTCTGCAGGATTGGAGTCTTGAAATGTACCAGTTTCTTTCTCTTTAATATTGGAGGGTAAGAGTTTTTCAAACAATATTTATAGTACAGTATGAGTGTAATTGTAGCCATGTCGGTCCCAGGTTATGAGAGTGATAAGGTGGGTGAGGTAATAGCTTTTATTGGACCAACTTCTGTGGATGAAAGCGACATGCTTTCGAGCCACAGAGAACTCCGGAGAAACCTGGACAGTACTACACAACACCTGGACTTCATCAGTTTACCAAGACCACCCCCTCACTGGAGCTGAATTTGCTGTACTCTCCAGGGGACTGAACTTCTGCCCTACCACAGCACCTGATACAATACTAACATGTGGAGAACTAGAAGAATTCTTCCACCGTCGTCACAAAGAATTCTTTCACAACAGTGATGACACCATTCACAATTACCATGTCCCCACTGACAATCATAAGAAAAAAGAATTATGACTAGACACGATAGAGCAGATCACACTCTTGATCATTACATTGATCGCTTTAGGGAAAAAATTGACTATGAAATCTTTAACAAACATCACATCCACCACAATCTCTCCACAGCCAAGAGGACAACTATACAGTCCCTGAAATCTAACAACCAGATACTGATCAAACCAGCAGACAAAGGGGGCCCCATCATAGTTCTCAACCATGATGACTACATTAACGAGGCCAGCCAATAACTCTCCAACACCATCTACTATGAAGAAATCAGAGAGGACCACCCTACACTACAATTTACCCAGGAACTTAAGGATATCATCAAATCAAATGAGAAACTCATCCCCCACAAACCCAGTCCAGGGACCTTCTGCATGCTTCCCAAAATACACACACAAGGGACCCCAGGCAGACCATATCAGGACCCATAGAAACCATCCTCAAACCAGGAACAGCCATGGGTACTAGGATGGCTTCTCAAAATTCCAGCTTCTTCATGGGCCATCCTGAAGAAGAATTTCTGGACAGCTGCACCACAAAACCAATGATGTACCTAAGATGGATCAATGATATTTTCATCCTCTGGTTAGATGGCTTAAACTCCACCACAACTCCAACAACCACCACCCATCCATTAAACCAGGGGCAGGCAAACTTTTTGGCCTGAGGGCCGCATCGGGTTTCGTAAATTGTATGGAGGGCCAGTTAGGGGAGGGGGTCGTGGCCCAGCCCCCACCTCCTATCTGCCCCCCCGGGACTCCTGCCCCATCCAACCCCCCCGTTCCCTGATGGCCCCTCTGGGACCCCTGCCCCATCAACACCCCACCACTCCCTGTCCCCTGACTGCCCCCGGACTGCCACTGCCCCATCCAACACCTCCTCTCATTCCTGACGGGCCCCCCAGGACCCCTGCCCCATCCAACCACCCCTTCTCCCTGTCCCCTGACTGTCCCCGGAACCCCTGCCCCTGACTGCCCCCTGCCACCCCATCCAATATTTTTGGATGTTTTCTACATTTTCAAATATATTGATTTCAATTACAACAGAATACAAAGTGTACAGTGCTCACTTAATATTTATTTTTGATTACAAGTATTTGCACTGTAAAAAAACAAAAGAAATAGTATTTTGCAATTCACCTAATACAAGTACTGTAGTGCAATCTCTTTACCCTGAAAGTTGAACTTACAAATGTAAAATTATGTACAAAATAAACTGCATTGAAAAATAAGACAAACAATGTAAAATTTTAGAGTCTGCAAGTCCATTCAGTCCTACTTCTTGTTAAGCCAATCGCTCAGACAAACAAGTTTGTTTACATTTACAGGAGATAATGCTGTCCGTTTCTTGTTTACAATGTCACCTGAAAGTGAGAACAGGCATTCTCATGGCACTGTCATAGCCACCATCACAAGATATTTACGTGCCAGATGTTCTAAAGATTCAAAGGTCCCTTCATGCTTCAACCACCATTCCAGGGTACATGCGTCCATGCTGATGACGGGTTCTACTCAATAACAATCCAAAGCAGTGTGGACCGACGCATGTTCATTTTCATTATCTGCGTCAGATGCCACAAGCAGACGGTTGATTTCTTTTTTTGGTGGCTCGGGTTCTGTAGTTTCTGCCTCAAAGTGTTGCTCTTTTAAAACTTCTGAAAGCATGCTCCACACCCGTCCCGATCAGATTTTGGAAGGCACTCGAGATTCTTAAATCTTAGATCGAGTGCTCTAGCTATCTTTAGAAATATCACATTGGTACCTTCTTTGCGTTTTGTCAAATCTGCAGTGAAAGTGTTCTTAAAATAAACCACATGTGCTGGGTCATCACCCGAGACTGCTATAACATGAAATATATGGCAGAATGCAGGTAAAACAGAACAGGGGACATACAATTCTCCCCAAAGGAGTTCAGTCACAAATTTAATTAACGCATTATTTTTTTAACTAGTGTCATCAGCAAGGAAGCATGTCCTCTGAAATGGTGGCCGAAGCACAAAGGGGCAAACAAATGTTTAGCATATCTGGCACGTAAATACCTTGCAATGCCGGCTACAAAAGTAGGCGATTGCCAGCAGATCGAGGGAAAGTGATTATTCCCCTCTATTCGGCCGGCACTGGTGAGGCCACATCTGGAGTATTGTGTCTAGTTTTGGGCCCCCCCACTAGAGAAAAGATGTGGACAAATTGGAAAGTCCAACAGAGGGCAACAAAAATGACTAGGGGTCTGGGGCACATGACTTATGAGGAGAGGCTGAGGGAACTGGGCTTATTTAGTCTGCAGAAGAGAAGAGTGAGGGGGGATTTGATAGCAGCCTTCAGCTACCTAAAGGGGGGGTTCCAAACAGGGCCGGCTCCAGGCACCAGCGTAGCAAGCAGGTGCCTGGGGCAGCCAATGAAGAGGGGGGTGGCACGTCCGGCGACAATTCGGCGGCAGGGCTGTCGCTCCCTCTCGGAGGGGAAGACCGGCCGCGGGACGGCCCCCGAGCGCGTTGGCGGTTTTTTTTTTTTTTGCGCTTGGGGCGGCAAAAATGCTAGAGCCGGCCCTGGTTCCAAAGAGGATGAAGCTCGGGTGTTCTCAGTGGTGGCAGATGACAGAACAAGGAGCAATGGTCTCAAATTGCAGTGGGGGAGGTTTAGATTGGATATTAGGAAAAACTATTTCACTAGGAGCGTGGTGAAGCACTGGAATGGGTTACCTAGGGAGGTGGTAGAATCTCCATCCTTAGAAGTTTTTAAGGCCCAGCTTGACAAAGCCCTGGCTGGGATGAGTTAGTTGGGGTTGGTCCTGCTTTGAGCAGGGTGTTGGACTAGATGACCTCCTGAGATCTCTTCCTGTCCTAATCTTCTGTGATTCTAAGAAGAGGGCTGCATTATCTCCTCTAAATGTAAACAAACTTGTTTGTCTTAGCGACTGGATGAACAAGAAGGAGGACTGAGTGGACCTGTAGGCGCTGAAGTTTTACATCAGGGGTCGGCAACCTACGGCACACGTGCCAAAGGTGGCACGCGAGCCGATTTTTGATGGCACGCGGCGGCGGGCTGAGCCGCTCAGCCCACTGCCACTCTGGGGTTTCTTCCAGCCGGGGTCCCACCGCCTGTCCCACTCAGTGCCCGCTGCTGGCCTGGGTGAAGGAACCCCAGGCTGGCAGCGCGCTGAGACCCCGGCTGGCAGGAGCCGGCGGCTGGAACCCCAGAGCAGCAGCGGGCTGAGCCGCTCAGTCGCTGCTCTGGGGTTCCGGCTGCTGGCCCCTTGCCAGTCGGGGTCCCCGCCGCAGCCCCACTCACCTTGCTTCCGGTTGGAGTTCCAGCGCAGGCCCCCTGCCAGACAGGGTCCAGGCCTCCGGCCCTACTCAGCCCTACCAGCCGTCAGCTCCACTCACCTCAGCTGCCGACCTGGGATTCCAACCGCTGACCTCCTGCCAGCCGGTTAACAACTGATCACTCAGAAGCCTGTGTGCAGCTTAAAGTATCCAAATATGTGCCAGACATTGGAAAACTCAGCAAGGAAAAGCAAGGGCAAGGATCACACTAAACTGATAAGATCTGCATTTTAATTTAATTTTAAATAAAGCTTCTGAAACATTTTGAAAACCTTGTTTAATTTACATATAATTCTAGTTTGGTTATATAATATATAGACTTATAGAGAGACCTTCTAAAAAACGTTAAAATGTATCACTGGCACTCGAAGCCTTAAATTAGAGTGTATAAATGAAGACTCGGCACACCACTTCTGAAAGGTTTCCGACCCCTGTTTTACATTGTTTTGTTTTTGTACACTTTTTGATTTCAGTTACAACACAGAATACAATATATATGAAAATGCAGAAAAACATCCAAAACATTTAATAAATTTAAATTGGTATTCTATTGTTTAACAGTGTGATTAAAACTGCGATTAATCGCGATTAATTTTTTGGAGTTAACTGCGATTGACAGCCCTACTTTCTACATTTTTAATTATTTGTCTTAATATATGCAAATTCCTAAATCTAGACAGCACTTTTTAAAAAGTACTAACCCCAAACCATCTCTGTGTTTGCACACTTGTGTAAGGGAAACCAGAAAGGGCGGATAGAGGGCACTGTGAAATCTGTACATTAACTAGAGTACTAAGTAATATATCCTGCTAAAATGATAATGTACCTTCAAGATTGGTACAGCTGGAAAGTATGTTTCCTTACTGAACTTCATCTTAAGATTCAGCTTCCAAAATCAAACAATAGATAAAAAATTACACCAATATGTTAGCTCAACCTGTTATAGAAAGATATTGTTAATTGCATAGCAGAGAAAAACCAGAAGGACAATACCTGGTGAAATCCATTACCGGCCCATTGTTGGTGTATTTGAATTTGAACTGATAACATTCTGTAACTGTCTAAACACAAAACACAGTAATTATTGACCTAACACATACAGGATCAATTGTTAAGAAGTGAAATACGATATTGTTTCCTATTTTCGGAAATATACTAGCCTTGCATGCTTTTTAAACTGATGTCTACATGTCAAGCAAAAGTTATAATCCATCATTACAATGACATTTCCATGGATTATAGCAGTGGTTCTCAATCTATTTATCATTGTGGGCCGCAGTGTTACCTGGGCCACAGGTTGAGAACCACAGCGCCCCCCTCCCTCCCCTCCAAACCCACCCAGCAGACCCCTATGCCCAACACCCCGGCCTGCCTACAGACCCCTCCACAGAGTGGGACCAGCAGCAGACCCCAGGCATGGGGCCGCAGGGCAGCCCCTACCCCGCCACACGGCAGCCCTGAGCCAGGCAGCAGGACAGCCCCAAGCCTGGATCCCGCCAGACGGGGCTGGGCAGGGCAGCCCTGAAACCGGACCCCGCTATGTGGGGCAGGGCAGCCCCGACCCTGGACTCCACTATGCAGGGAAGAGCAGCCAGGGCCCCAGGCAGGGGGGCCAGGACCCCAGGCTTGGCCGGGCAACCATGGCCCTGGACCCCATCGCACCAGGCAATGGGGCAGCCTGCACCCCCGACACCACAGGCCAAGCAGCCTTTAGCACACAGCTGGGCCACAACTACGTGCTAACGGGGCCACATGCAGCACACAGGTTGAATACCACTGGATTATAGCTTTCTAATGTCATAATGATTCATTCTGACTTTTTTTATGCACGGCTTATTTATACAATTGTTGTTGCCATCAAATGAAATCAATGTCCGTAGTCTCTTCCAGGCACCATATATTATAAGAAAAAACACAAGTCTGAGCTGAAGTTTTTTAAAGAAAATTTTCAGTTCAAATTAGTCACTGTCCAAAAATGCCATATACACCATACAGAGCTAGGGTGACACCTAGTGGCTAGTAAAATTATGTTTTGCTTGAAAGAATTCATGGAATTTACTATATAGAATAAGAAAGAAACTCCTCTTATAGGCAGTTAATTACATAATTGTTCACTGTTTTTTGCACTTTCCTTTGAAGTGTCTGGTGCTGGTTACTGTCAGAGACAAGATACTGGACTAAATATCAGGTATGGCAATTCTTGTGTTACGATATAACTTCTTTAGATAAATAATAGTGTGAATTTGGACCAAATGTGAAATATTCTATATGCCGGTATATGCAAATTTTAATGTGAATGTTACTATCAGCAGTCAACCTTAAATATTATATTAAACTTACCTGAGGGTCTTCTGCATGAGTGTAGACCTATATTTTAAAAATAAATAATATAAATATGAGAATAAATAAAATAAATACAGTGTATATAAATACAC